TTTCTGGAGAATATCACTTAAAATATTCTTAAGAATAACCTGGCTACCCCAAATGGGTATACGAGGTTAAGCTATTGTGTTCTTATGGAGACTGATTTCACAAACACAAATTCCAGCTTCAATTCAAGATCTCGACAACAGTTAAGCGATAAACGGTGATGCTGGATAAATCTTAGCTATTCTACAAAGCACTGAATAGATTGAGAGACAAAGAGATCAAAAGTTGAAGCCATTTACGGGTTCCTCTACATGATCTACTCAACCAAGCATTGAAGGGATCGTAAGTAAGACCTATCTTATCCAAAGTATCCCAGAACCCCTCTATAAAAGATTGAGTCTGGAATACTTTGGAGGGGGTATCTGTAGGCGTCAAAAAATGCTGAAAGATATCCAAATACAGCTCAAGAGGAAATCATCCAAAAAAGGCAGAAGAACTGCGAGACAGTATTTACTGTCTCGCCGTGCGAGACAGAATTTACTGTCTCGCACGCGAGACAGTTATCAGTGGTTCAAGAAACTGTTTTGCAACCACCAATACGTGGCCACCAACTGTTCAAGAACGTGGGGAACGTCGTGGGCGAGAATCACGTTAATAACCAGTTTTCAAACATTCAGAAACCGTTTCATAAACCACCGACATGTGACCACCAACTGTTCAAGAACGTGGGGAGTATCGTGGGCGAGAATCACGTTGATAACCACCAGAATAACGGAGTTTAAAACGTGGGAAGGCAGTTACAGCGAGAAACTGTCAGACAGTATTTACTGTCTCGCTGGGCGAGACAGCAAATTTACTGTCTCGCTGGGCGAGACAGCAAACACTGTCTCGCCAGCGAGACAGCAAACGCTGTCTCGCCCGCCGAGACAGCAAACGCTGTCTCGCGAGCACTGTTCATACAGGGGTTATAAATACCCCCGAGGTGATTTCTTTGAGGAGGCGGATCAGAGAGCATCCATAGGCTGATTCCAGAGCAGAGAGGGCAGAGTACTCGAGCTTCTGGCAACTCCTTGATATTCAGGCTTTGACTTGATTTCAAGAAGAACGACTATCTTACCTTGATAAGATATCGTTTCAAGTTCTCACTTCGATAAACGAAGTCAGAATCATAAACCCCTCACGATTCGATCAGAATCTGTGATTTGGTGGTCCACGGGCTAACGCACCCCCGGCACAGGCAAAGATCCCACGCAAGCAGTGATCCAAACAACGATCCTGCGTTTGTTTCCCAAGAGTTGTAATTTTCATTTTGTTATGTAAAAGAAGTCTTATAAAAAGGCTATTTCTTTTGAATTTATTGTAATCGACTGAAGATATAATGAATTCCATGACAAAACCAACTTTTGACGCAAACACACAGAACATTACTTATTTATTACAACACTATCAGTTGTTAGGGAACTCTTAAACCTCATTTAATTTCTACAAAATTTCCCCTAAAGTACACCTCAATAAAGCTTCTCTTTTTCCTCAAACTATTGCAAAAACTATTTCCCCACTCTTTACATCAAATCCGAGTAACAATCTACTTCTTTATTACTAAAGGAGAACAACAAAAAATATATAATGAACAGTAACATAAGGTTTTTTTTAACAACGTTTATCACAATCCCATTTTTAAATAACCACCTACAAAAATAACCATCTACAACCAACAAAAAAAAAAAACTATAATGAACAGCAACAGTTCATAGATATTGATAATACATAAGGTTTTTTTAATTAACAATGTTTACCACATTCCCACGTTTAACTAACCACCTACAAAAATAACACCTAAGACCAACAAAAAAAATCTATAATTAACAATAACAGTTACATAGATAATGATAATACATAAGATATTTTAATTAAAAATGTTTATTACATGCCCATTTAAATAACCAACTACCAAAAAACCACCTCCCCACATTTTAAAAGATTTTCTGCAAATATTGAACATGTTACCAAAATAAAAGTATTCCGTTTTAGATATGAATTATGAAGTATAGGGGTGCAAATTGCTTTTTTTTATTATTCGTTCAGATATTCGATCAAGTTTGATTCAATATCATGACTAATAAAAATATTATAAAAGATATTTTGTAATTTATCTTCAACCTCTTGATGCAAGTAAGAGAATAGCATGACTAATAAAGATATTTCAATTCTCCTAACATAGCAGCGCATCAAATCAAAGATCATCGGAACAAACCAAGAAAAACGGAGTACAAAAGATATATCGTACGTTCAGTTCTCTAAGCTAATGTTAATGTGAAATGAAGAACATAGAAGATTAGACCCAAACCCCAACCCTAGAATTATAATATATATAAAAATAGGAAAAGGATATCTTAATGCATAAAATTATTTTATAAATATGAATTTCTTCTTATATAACTGATACATTTCAAACTGAGTTCCAAATTCTGTCGAGTTAATAATTGCTTGCTTGACTCAAGTTTGTGTAATCTCCACGTAAATTTAGTTAAGAGGATAAAATTGTTAATTTTAATATCATATATAAATAGGAAAAGGAAAAGAAAATTAATATAACACTTTCTTTTCATTATTATTATATCTTAATGCATAAAATTCTTTTATAAAATAGGAATTTCTTCTTATATAACTGATCCATTTCAATCTGATTTTCGAATTCTGTCGAGTTAGTAATTCTGGTAGCAGATCAGATGAGGGTGCTCGATCCATCAAATATGTTTAGGACTGTCTTTGAAAAAGTAGAAATGTGCAAAATAGCATGGCCTAATTAGCAGTGATATAGTTTATTCTCATTCTACTTATGTAAAGAAAAGTGAGCAGTTGGTTGAAACGGGATTCAGTTCTTTCCTAGACAACCAAGATAGAAGGATTGCCAAAATTGCTCCAGATAAGGAGGATATCAAAAAATCAAGACATTTCACTTTTCTTGGAAAGCCAACAAAAAAAACTCTCAAATACATAATAGAGAACACAAATTGAAGGAACAAAAGGACCTCAACCGACGCTGATAATTCTTTCAATAGACGCAGCTTCCAAGTACTGCCAAACGCAGCTTCCAAACTGCTGCCAACGTAGTTTCCAAAAGCTGCAAACACAGCTTCCAGACGTTGTAAACGCAGCCCCTAGACGCTACAAACACATCTTCCAAATCGCTATAAACTCAGCTTCTAGACGCTACGTTTAAGCTTCCAAATGCTGCGTTCCAACGCAGAATTCATGTCAGAACGCGATTTTTACGTTTGACTCACTCAAACACGGGCTGAACGGTTTTAAAACCGTTTCCCATGATCTGAGGGGATCGCAATTCCACTTAGAAGTGATTTAAGGGGCGGTTACACCCCTTAATCGTCTATAAATAGCTAAAAGATCAGTTTAGTTCAGGTCTTTGGATCTTTGAGCATTTTCGAATCTAGAGATCAACAAAGAGCTTGGAAGCTTTCTTCAGAAACAGAAAATCTTCAGAGATTTAGTACTCGGTTAAAATCAACTCTGTTATAGAGTTTAAACTCGCTCCGAGATCTTAAACTCGTTAAGAGTTATTTTCAAACTTACCACGCAAGTTATCCTCGACATCAATCAAGAGGATTCAACCGTGTTCCATGAGTTAAAGCCTTCGGATCATTAACAAGAAGCAAACTCGATACGAATGTTGAGGGAGGCATCTCATCGATACCGTGAAGAACCCAGTTTTAAACAAAGGGGAGGATCTCTGTCGATCTTCTTCTCTTTTGTAAATCGGGAATCCGATAGCAGAAGATTATAATTTTTTGTTTTCTAAATCAGTTAGAGAGAAATTGTATTGAGAGAATTGTGTTCATTCTTTATCTAAGTCGGTTAGAGGGATAATACGAACAGAGCACTTTGCTAGTCACATCGGTTGTGGGGCTCACACATCATAGAGATGACAGCTCACGCCTAGTATCATAATGACATTTATATTAAAAAAACACACAAACACATTCTCACAAATAAATAAATATAGATACACACACTAGCATATTCGAATGTGCAATGCACGTGTAAAAATATAAAATTGTTATCTAATTAACTTTTTATCATACATATTAGTAAATTGACGGTGATTTGAATTATGCGATTTTATTATAGAATTACTAAACTACTATTTAGTAATTTAAAATTTAAAAAATACTCTTAACACAATTATGTTGAGGAGCTTACTGAGAATAATGTAATTGGAGTAAATGATTTAAAGTAAAAAAATTAAAAAAAATGAAGGATACTACTATTTGATTATGTGACCTCAAATATTCTTCTTATACTATCATGAATGTTCTAAAATTATAAATGAAATAGAAGAGAAGAGAAAGGAAACAAATCAAATAGTAATTTCATTGATGTGAATCAAATCCTAGTCTCACGTCATAATTTAGAATATTCTAGAAGTAATCGATGAAACGAAAAAAGGAGTATTTCTTTACTTACGCGCGAAATTACTGATATATCCCTCAAACTTCTATTGTAATGGGAAACATCCTTCAAATATTTTGATACCCTCACTTGGATTTTAACATATTAATATAGATATGACATTTATCACATTCTATCCGCATTCCCTAAGATAAGTCACCCTCTATTCACTTAAAAAATATACAAGACTTCTCATGTAATGTAGAAAGTTTTGTCAAGTTTTAAATAACAACTCTAATGGCTTTGGAAATATAAATTATGCAGCCGGATGTAATACAAAAATACGATAGAATTTAGGATAAAAACCGAGTAAAATAAAAAAAAATAAAAAAAAATTAGGGGTGAGAAAAAGTAGGGTCCAACTATTCACACTCCCAAACAGTAACTTTGGGGATGTGTGAGGACTAAATTACCCTTCTCCCAAACCAAATCAGGCCAAGTCTAAAATGGCATTTTCGGCAATCCAACTCCCAAAGTTACTGTTTCGGAGTGGATATAACAAACATGGAAAAAGTATTAGAAACCCCTAATCTGGATTCACTAACACTTAACAATTTATTAGTACGAAAGGCGAGATAATCACGACAATAATAAGAAATTAAAAAGGGAGAGAAGAAAAACGAAGATGAATCCTGAGACGAGGACGTGGTCGTCTTCGTCCTTATCCGAATCCGCTCATCTCCTCTCGCCCACAGCCTATCGGGTCTCCATCGAGATGCAACCCGGACCCGCTTCGTCCCCCAACCGCTCTGTCTTCCTCGGCGTCGACGTCGGCACCGGCAGCGCGCGAGCTGGTAAGCCCTCCGAACCCCTTCCCATCGATCTCAATTCCGATCCCTCGCTGTAATTTTATTTTTTATAAAATAATTTAATTAGTGGACAGTTATGTTAGTTTTTCCAGTATTCATTCTCGTGAGATTTAATTGGACTTTTTATGTTCTCAAAACTGCTCGATTTCATTGTTATGTTTTTTTTAAAATTTTTTTTTATAAAACCTTTTTAGAGATTGCAGTACTGGAAATGGGTTAGTTTTGATTGTTTTCTGCATTCCTTGATTTCTGATTATAAATGGTTAAAAAAAAAACATTTGAAATGATTGGGTGGATTATGTCAAGTAAATAAGGTCAACTATTCATCATGGTATTGGGATTGAGGAGAATAAAGCAAGATGATTGAAGTAGAGATGCTCCCAAGTACCATGCGACCATAATCAAGGAAATTAAAAAATAAAATAAAAAAGAAACCATGATTTGTCATGTCTCATTAGAATATATTACATATTAGAAAAGCTGAAAATGGTGCATCTAAAGGGAGAATGTTGAGATGGTTCAACGTAGGAGTTAAAAGACAAAATGAGTGAATATGTAAAAACTCAGGCCTAGCTTTTTTATCGGGGATAAAATGTTGGGGAACCCTTGAGATGGTTTGAGAATGTTAAAATGGAGATAGATAAGTGTTCGGATAAAGAGGTGTTCTAGTAACTGTGAGTGGAGTAGATAGGGGTGCAATGACTAGGAGTAGACTTGAACAAACATGGACTGAAGAAGTTTTTAATATAGGCAATGACCCCCTAATAGAGATGAACAAAGAAAAGTTGATTCACGATCATGGTCGTCTATGTTCTCAATGTCATGCGTTATGCTATCTTTGAATCTGATCTACTATGCAAATATTTTTTTTGAGTGAAACGGTGAGTGACCACCCCGTGTTCCATTAAGAAGATTTTAACGAAACAACACACAATATTGCAAGAAAGAGATAAGGAAAAAAAGCCACGAACAAAAGAAGCCGTAGCTCAACTGTGGCAAAACAAAAAGAAAAACAACCTGAATACAACGAACCACACAAACAAAAGAAGAACAATCACATGGAGCTAAAAGGAACTCCATGCCGTGATAACTAATCCTCCATCTCAAACTCGGAGTCCGCCTGAATCCTAAACATATTAGGTACTGTAGAAAGACCGTCCTCTGGAAGCTCCTGACCACCATCCAATTGCCAAATCAATCTATCAGCTCTGTCTTTATCTGTTCCTGTGATGATGGAACACCATAAATTAATGTTATATATGCACATTTGGTATACCTGTGATGAACAAGAGCTCAAATTGTTAAAAATTCAATTGTTTCATTCTTTTCAAATAACCCAAACAATAGAAGCACAACAAATAGCCCCAAAACCCCAAGACTCATTATTTGCCCGACCATGCCCAGAGGTCCAAACATCCCTAAATGATGAAGGAAGGACAGTAACACCACA